GGGGATCGAACTCATGCGGAAGTGGCTTTAGTTTCCCAGTGCAGTGCTTTAACCCGCTGCGCCACCAGGGAGGACCTAAAACTACCAGTTCTTAATTGGTGAAAACATAAACCCAGATGGCTTGATTGCTCTATTAGACTACCATGAAGATGTTGTGACTCTGGAATGATTTTTCTTTACTGATGTTTCAGAAATGGAAAAATGCTAACATATTTGACAATTACTTTGGACCTGCCACTTGTGATGATAATTAGCAACTGTTTTTCAACCAGTTAACACAGGTCTCAGAAAAAAATGGGGCTGATGTCATCTTGAGTTCCTCATTTATTTTGACCTTGATATTTGGAATGGAAGTTTTGTTTTTTTAGGAAGGGAAAGTCATGCACTTTGTGAAAAAGTAAAATGCATTTAAACTAATTTGGGAGAATATCTCTTAGTTTGAAACACAGTTAAATCCATCCTGCAAGTTTCTGGAGAAACGAAAGCCTGGTTGTTGATCACTACTAGAGTCTATCTTCAGGCAACTAACTACCAGAGTGCAAACCCCTTTTGGGACTGGAGTATAAAATACCAGAAATAGTCTTACTTCTCAGTTGAAGTAAAGGCAAAGACCACTCTCAGAGCACCATTTGAAGTGAATTCTTATACATTTCCTCTGAAATAGATCACTAAGTCGTAAAAACGCTGACATAGATCACTAAAATAGTAAAAAGAAATGAATGTAATTTAAAATAAAGCCCACTGTGGGAAGGAAAGAATGGATTGGAGAACAGTCAGGAATTCCTGGGCAGTTCAGTGGACCTGATTGTGTGTACTGGTGGGGTTGGAGAAGGGACACAAATACCATGAATGCTCAGGTGAAAGTTTTTGAGATCAGAATTTGCTAGAATGGCTGTGTTGCACACACTTTAAAGGTAGCAGACAAGTTAGGACCATAGAAAGTAGCCCTTATGCCAGAGCTGAGACTACGACATTTAGTAACCTAGCAATGGTTACTTCATGATTTCTCTAGAATTAGATGATTCAATAATAACATTAGAAATTTGACTAGTTTGATAGGCAAAGTAGGGAGCAGGCGCTTCAAGTTACAAGTAACAAAATTAAGGCTCACAGGGGAGAGGATTTACCCAAAAGAAGGGACTCCATAAATCTCTTCTTTCACGCACTCGATAAACACAGAACACTACTGTGTGCCAGGAGCTATTTTAGGTGCCAGGGATGAAGTGACATAAACCACTATTCCCAAAGGGAATATGCTTCACAGCATACGAGCCAGCTGAGGTTTGATTGGCTATTCGGTAAGCTAAACTGAACAGACATTTGCCATTAGACAAGTTTAATATTTAAATTCAAGTGTTGCTTATCTGGAAGAATTTTCAGTGTAATTAAGTTTGTCTGATTTTGGACTCATATCCTTTTGATTTCTAGCCCATTACCCATTGCTTGAAAGGTACATTAGAGATTATTCCACTCTCACCACCATGTATGGGTCATGGCTCCTGTCACTGGAGTCCATTTAATATTTTTGAGTAGCTCATTCTACACTCAGTGGAATTATTACAAAAATGGTATATCAAAGTTGAACATAGCTTAACAGTTAAGAAAAAGAATATAAAATGATAAAGTCTATAATTTCAACATACAAAAATAATAACATTTCCATAATATTTTCAAGAAAGAATAGTTTTCTCCTGATTGCTCATCATGTTTTTCTTTTTTGATTGCTTACTATTATCTACTAGATAACAGAATTGCCTGTAAGAAAATGGAGAAATTGGAATCTTCATACATTGCTGGTGGGAAAATAAAAGGGTGCAGTCACTTTAAAATAGTTTGGCAGTTTTTCAAAAAGTTAAAAATAGAATGTCATATGATCCAGCAAGTCCGCTCCAAGTGCAATTAATTCTCACTCGTCTCAGTAGTGATGATCCAGAAAGTCCGAATGAACACTAAATAAGGGAATACAGACCACGTGCTCAGAGTACATACAAGTCTTGGGTTATGAAATTTTTACCAACTGATCAATATTTAGTTTTATTCTATGTATGTTCAAGACACCTTATTTAATATATATTGTGGATTCATCTACATTCAGCTCCTGCCCAATGCTACTTTAACTCAGGCCTGAGAGAAGCTCATTCGTTTTCCCCATAAGGCACATCACAGCTTTCCTCTTTTAGGAACACAAGACAGCACTTTAACACAACAGTCAGGGGCCACTTTAAATAACAAAAATACCAACAAAAAGCACAAAAATGTGAAAACCCATGGCACTAAATATGTTGCTAAGAGGAGATGGTTTATAACACAGCAGTTGGAACCAGAGGGCAGGTCACATGGCAATGTTCAGATTAGGCTTTTTCAATCAAAAGTCCACAAACACGAACATACCAGGAGTTTGGATGAGGTTATAAATACATTTTGGCCAAATTTTAGGCAAATTCACAAATAAGTTATCCTAAATACTGATGTTCAATTGTAAAATATAAAAATTTAATAGTCCTATACTATTGAATTATTTTTCTCTATTACAAGTTATATTGTAATATTCTCATGGATGAGTCTCTGCACGCACCTTTAACTATTCCTTGAGTTAAATCAGTAGGACAGCTATTGTAATATCAAAAATGTGTCCAATTTTAGGGCTTTTGAAACAAATTGCAAAAATACTAACAAAAAGCACAAAAATCCCCTATTCTCTGGGGATTATATATATATATATATATATATATATCTGTATTTATAAAGCCTTCCTGTCATAGTTGATCAACTAACGGAGCTCCTGTCCCTAATTAATATTTAAAAGTTGATCTGGGGAAAGAGTTGGTCTTTTCTGGAAACAAAAAAAGCTGCAGATATTAGACTTGGGATCTATCAGGAATGTTGCTCTCTGACTTGTGGCAGAGACAAATTCATGTACAGAGAGATGCAGAAACAAGAAGTGGAGACAGAAGATGCAGCCTTCATTAGTATCCTAGGTTCTAATGATTTCTAAACTTCTCTAGCTGGATCCCTATTATTTATGCAGTTTGGATGGTAAATCTTTCAGTAGAGCAAGAGCCCTTAGTGTTCTTCAAATAATTTTTCTCTTTCCTTCAGTGGGCTATCATAGCTCACTATATGTACTCACTATAAATATGTGAAAACATCCATTCCTGTGTCCAACCCATCAATGTGTAAATTTATTTATGTGTGTTATTTCATTTATGTTAATATTACCAATTTAAGAGGTAAAAAAATGTCATTCCTTTTATTTTCTTGGTTATTAGTGAGGGTGACTATATTTACTTTTATTCCCTTTGTTATGAACGACTTACTTATGTACTGACTTTGCTTTATTATTATTAGAGCTCCTGTCTGTTGCGTGTGATACACCATCCCAATATTAGGTGGTAAAATGGCCATTTTATTATGTGTACAAAATCGGTGGTTCAGGAGTCCGACAGGATATAACATGGCTTTTCTCTGCTACAGGAAGAGCTTCAACTGAAAAACCCAGATTGCTGGCAATGACTTCAACAGCTGGGGATGAGCTCACACAATTTGGGATACCTCAAGATTATAAATTTGCCTGTGTATTTCAATTTTATAATTTAATTTTTACATTCAATTTCATATTAGTTAAGTATTAGTTAAGGTGCCAAAGTAGGAGTGGCCATGTTTTTGTGGGGGGCATCAGATGGGAAGTTACTGCTGTTGTCAGGCAAGAAATGAGGAGGGGAAAAGGAGAAGAGTTAAAAGAGAATATATAGTAATTTGGGGTGCAAAACTGAATGAACTTTGTGATGGCCATGATATGGAAAATGAGAATAAAGGTTTATGTCCCTTACTGAGATAAGGAGATTGAAAGAAGACTATTTTTGAGATTCACAGATATTCATTCACAACTGACAGGTGTAGCACCTAGACTTATTATTTGCTTTTTAAAGTTGAATTTTATCAAGTGTCTTTTTAGTCTATGTCTGTATGGTTTTGGGAATTTTTTCCTTCTCTACCCTATTAATAGGATGACAGATAGAAATATGATTTCTTTCTTTACTTCTTTTTTGGTAGTTTAGTCCTCAGAGGCCACAAAACCTTTAAAATCCTTAAAAATGTAGACAAAGATAGAAGTACTCCACAATGAATGGCAGGTATATGCCAGGCCTGTTATAACAATAGGATTTTTATCTCAATTGAATGAGCTCTACTAGGACAATGAGAGCTTTTCTTTTGGTGGCTTAATTTTTCTACTATATGTACTTTTTATTATATACCTGGATCTAAAAGATGTGATAATGTTCTAATTATTATTTTTCTTCATTTGACAAAACACACTGAGATTTTAATTAATTTGTGAAAAAATCATCCAGGTAGTCGGCACAACAGTGTATTATTCATAAATAAATTGTTTAATTGAATTTGCTAACGTTTTACTTGATGAATTAGATAGGTGCCCAGTTTGTCTCTCACACACGCGCTCTTATGTTATCCTTATCAAGTTCGGGGATCAGGATTGTTGACTTCCCAATCAATTTTTGGTGAATTTATTTCTTTGGTAATTTTGTGTTATTTATTTTTAAATAAATAACACAACTATTTCTAAGGTAAGAATGCATTGAACCACATCTGGGTCTCTCATGAAGTCCTACCTGGCTTAGTCCCGTATGTGATACTGGCTACCAAGCTTTAACTCACACTGTACCCATTAATCGCTTGGGCAAAGAAAACACAGCAATTTAAAACCTTCGTCTGGACCCCAGAGGCGTCTCGCAATACACGCCTCTCCCTCTCTCTAAGTATGAAAAAAAAATGCTGGGGTGGGAGTGAGGGTGGGGGAATCATGACGAATGGTTCCAGTCTTTCAAAAAGTAGAATCTTATCTTGTAACTAAATCAAAAGAAAACAAACAACAAAAATCTAAGTTTGCCTCTCCCCCAAAGCAGCAAAGGGTAATTGGATCCCTGGCCACGTAAGAGCCTCTCCGGGCACTAAATCCCGAGTTTCCAGGGACAAGCGGCGAGTTGGGTGTGGGCCAGGGCAGTAGACGCTTTTCTCTCCCGACTTCGGGGCGCCGCCCCTTCCCGAGGAATTCAAGATTTCTCGCTCCAGGATGGGTCCCCAACGAAGTTGCCAACCCTCTCCGGACGCAGCAGGCTCCGAGGACCCGCCCGGGCGGTGCAGGGCTCCTCCCCTTGCTCGGATGTGTCCGGGGGGCGGAGGGCGGGAGAGAGGGGGTGGTGGCTGCCGCCCGGGGAGGGCCGGGAGTCTTTTCCACGTTTGCATCCGCCGCAGTGCTCCCAGGCCGGACCCGCAACGCCCGAGCTCCGCACGCCCTCGCCGGCTTCGCGCAGCGCCCCGCGGCCGTCTCTCGCTCCTCTCCTCGCCGCCCGGGATGGCATTCAGGTCCCGGGGCTGGCGGCCCCCGCTGCCGCCGCTGCTCCTGCTGCTGCTCTGGGTGACCGGGCAGGCGGCGCCAGTGGCGGGCCTGGGCCTGGGCTCCGACACGGAGCTGCAGATCGAGAGGCGCTTTGTGCCCGACGAGTGTCCGCGCACCGTGCGCAGCGGCGACTTCGTGCGCTACCACTACGTGGGGACATTCCCCGACGGCCAGAAGTTCGATTCCAGGTACCACGCCGCGAGCGAGCGTCCTGGCCTTCGAGGCTGCGGCGCCTTCTCTCCCTTCCCTTTCTCCCGACAGGCCTTTCCCTCCCGACGGACCTCCCCCAGCTCCGCCCCTGCGCTCCTACCCTAACGCTCCTGGACCCTAAACCCCGCTGCCCTGGGGGTGAGCCTCCCTACCCTTTAGCTCCCCTAGTTCTTCCCATCTCCCTCTGGACTGGAGTTCTGGAAGGGACCTTGAGCATTAGGACGTTAAATCGGTATACGATAGCCATTTCACGAGACCCCTATGCCCCCTAAAGGAGGTGTTGACATCTGCCTGCCACTCCCTTTACTGTTTCCTGTGGACGACCCTTTGAGTCTCTAGTCAGATGATGCCTCTTGCAGATAATGATGACAACTGCCGCTAACATTTATGGAGTTATTACTATGTGCCAGGCGTACTTCCAAGTACTTTCCATAGAATGGACTCCTTTGACTCTTAAAATTCTCTGAGGTAGGCACTATCATTATCCACATTTTACCAGTGCGGTAATTTGAGGCCACTGAGGCTAAGGAACTTGCTGAAGCAGTCGTATGGAAACGCAGACCGTTCCAGTCCGTGCCCACGTGTGTGACTATCACTGCCCTCCCCTTCCGGTGATTGGGCACGAGGTAGTCCAGACCCTCAATTGGCTTTGCCACTGGGCCTTGCTCTCTTCCAAGATTGCATTCCTCAGCTTTGCCCAAAGATCACCACGCCTGCCCGTCCCATCTTTACTGTTTTAGGTCGTTGATCACAGGCCCCCTGGTTCTTCCAACTCTGGGCTGCTCTCCTCCCCAATGCTTTGCTACAAACCAAGTCAGTGGCCGTGCTTCTCTCAGTGAATCAGGAGACCAGGCAAAGAAAACTGTCGATTGACTGCTGCTATGTACATGCCTTTCGTGCACTGCTTTCATTCCTGAAGTTATCTTTTAAAGAACACACTTCTTTTTTTTTTGTAATTCCGGACTGTGAATATACAAGTGCTGTCATACGATGGGGCACCAGCAAGTATTTAAAAGTGGTCATTTTTACTATGGTTTACTTGCTGTTTATGAAAACAGCTTTGTTATTGCATAATTCACAAACGACACAGTGCACCCATTTAAAGTGTACAGTTCATTGGTTTTTATTCACAGAGTTGTACAACCATCACAACTACCTAATTCCAGACTGTTTTTGTCATTCCAAAAATCTCTGGACCATTAGCAGTCACTCTGCACCCCCCCAGTCTTAGGTAACAGCTCATCTATTTTCTGTCTCCACCTGGGATCCTGTAATTTGTGGGGTTTGTGACTGGCTTCTTTCACTTAGCATAATGTTTTCAAGATTTATCCATGTCGCAGGTTATGCCAGACCTTCATTTCTCTTTATGTTCACGTTGTATGGATATTACTACATTTTGCTTATTCATTCATTATTGTTGGATATTTGTCATATGTATTTTGGCTGTTATGATATTATGAATATTATATCTATGGTTTTGTGGTGGATGTAAGCTTCATTTACCCTGGGGTGTATACATAGGAGCAGATGTCATTTTGATTTTAGCTCTCTGTGGTTGGTGTGACTTGGTATCTCAATGAGATTTTAATTTGCATTCCCCTAATGCTTAGTGATACAGTACTTATGGGCCATTTGCATATCCTCTTTCCTTCATTAGTTAGAAAATAGGGAAGAATTTCCTGCTTGTTTTGATGGAAATTTATAATTTCCTGTAGAACATTTAGTCTAATACTTTCTACTCTGTAGGCACAAGCCACTGTGAGGCAGTGTGGGACAGTGGAAAGAGCACAGAAGAGTCATTACACAGCAAAAGTGCATATGTCCGTGAAAATATATTTATTCATTCCTGGTATCCGCCCTGGTAGAGCATGTCCTGCCCTTATCTACCACATATAGTCCAGGTAATCACAGACAGACCAATATAACACATTCTCTCCATATAGTTCTTACCATGGGCCTTTACATATATTAATCTCAGATGAACTCATTTGGCCTCACTTACTGTGAAGTAGGTTCTTCATTGCAAATGAAGAAAAAGAGACTCAGGAAGTTTGGGTAATTTGCTCAAGGAACCTGGCTGCTAAGTGGTGAAATGGGGCTTTGTATGTAGAAGTCTAGTGCTAGAGTCTAGACCCTGGGGTTTGCAGTGTACCATATTTCTGGGGTGTGACATAGGAGGAAAAGAGAAGTGAGAAGAGGTCTCTTGGCTCTGGAATTTGGACTTTGTCTAAGGACAGTGGGAAACTACTGAAGAGTTGTAATTAGGGATTGAGGGTTTAGACCTCGCAATTTACAAAGCTCCCTGTGGTTGCTCTATAGACAAGCGAGTGGGAGGGAAAGGCTCATGTGGCTGCTTCACTTGAGAGTGATGACCTTTCCTTTGCGAATTTATGGTGTACGAGGGCATGATTTTGCTTATTCCTACACTGAAAGCTTGGGGGAAGTTGAACACTAGGTGTCTTGGGCTTTGGCTGTTGATTTGGAAGTTTTGTCCAGAAGAAAACCATAGCCCTGACCAGAGTCATAAACCTCAAAGGGCCTTTCATTCCACAGAACTTTCTTCCCCCAAGTCTGCCTGGCACTTGGGGCCGTTGGTGTCTTTTCAGCTTAGGGACCTTTGCAGTTGCCAGGAGTCCAGCATTTTAGCCCTTGGCCACTGGCTTGGACTTGGTTTAGTTTTGATCTGGCACCTCCATGGGCTTATTGGTATGCCCCTGTGGCCGCTGCTCCAGACCCAAGGAGACAGCAGCTCCTGCTGCAGGTTGATCATTTTCCAGTCCTTGGCATCCTGTCAGCCACTCCTGACTTGGCCTTTAGGAGTCCCAGAGGCTTTCTAGCAGTGAGCAGTAAGGGGTGAGCTCTTTGCTCTGATTTCCTTCTAGGGACTGACTTTCTCTTGTTTTTATTAACGCAAGCATCTGATCAGCTCATTTGCAGTTCCCAGGCTTGCCTGCTGCCCTTCTAAGTGCAGACATTCAATAACATTATTGTACCTACAGCTGCTCTTAAAAGAACATGGGGGACCCTCCCTTGTGGTGCAGTGGGTTAAACGCAGCACTGCAAGCTAGCCACAGTTGCATGAGTGCAAGTTATATCCTTGGCCCCGGAGGTGACCCACATGGCGTGGCAGGCCTCTCCTGACCTTCCCGCTACTCCCCTCAGCAGTGTACTTCTGTCATTCTGCATGTTCTGCTCCCTACTCTGTCTCTGGTGAATCCTCTCACCACCCCTGCACCTCTAGCTTGCACCCCAGTTCTGTATGCATAAATAAATAGGAAGAAAATATAAGAAACCTTTACTTAAAAAAAGAAAAAGAACATGGACTCATTAACAGAGGTCACCTTCATTTTACATATGCTAGAAATCATTCATTGACTTATTTTTTCATTCAACAAATATTCTTTGAATACCTACCATCCTGGGTGCTGGGATGTAGTCAAAAATAAAACAGACCAAAAAATCCTGCTCTCTAGTGAAACTAATCTATATGATACCACAGTGGTAGATACATATCCTTATGCATTTTTCCAAAGCCATAGAATGTACAACACCAGGGGAGATCTGTAATATAAGCCGACTTTTGACTGGATGTGTCAGTGTAGGTTCTTTGATTGTATAAAGCGTACTACTTTAGTGGTGGATACTGGTGATAGTTGAAGTCATGCATATGTGGGACTGGAGGCATGTGGGGAATCTGTATCAACTGTTCAGTTTTGCTGCAAATCTAAAACTGGAGTGAAAAATTGTCTGTTTTCTGGAAAACACCAAGCTGTCCTTAAAGTTGAAGTAGGATGGGGGGTGGGGTAGAGGTGGGGGGAAGAAACCCACACAAAGAGAGAGTTTCTTTTTATTTCCTCATGAGGATCCAGAATCATACAAGTGACTTTCTACATCTCCTGAGGGCTTGCGGGGGGGGGGGGGGGGGGGGGAGGGGGGGGCACTTCATTCTCCCCTCCCTGGGGGGAGGGCTCCAACAAACAGGCTCTCTGTGCCACATAGGCAGCTTCTTGGTCCAGCAAGGCTTACTGGAATCTCTCTCCATTCCACATTCCTAGGAGAGAATTTAACTGGTCAGGTGTCCACCCTAGAGAGTGTTAAATTGCTTGTTAAGTGAAGGGGGGGGTTAAGACTCACCCCCTCTTGGGCACTGGTTCCCAGAGAAGAGCCAGTAGGCTGGGCAGCACCCCAGGTGGTGTGAGGGCAGAGTGGAGGGGTAGTGGTGGCAGCAAGACCTGTCAGGTCAGAACATGCTCACTTCAAAAGGAAACTTTTAAAGCGTGAGTCTGCATAATGGCTTTTCCTATGGAAAAGTCACATGATAAAAGGAAGCCACTGTTTGTGTGTTAATCCAGAGCAATTCTGCAAACATTTGGAAAAGTCTAGCCTCCTAGCTAGATTCTTACTCGGCTCTCCTGAAGCATTTGGCAAGCTTTCTAAACATTCTGTGTAGACTTAATGGCATAGCTTTTAATTGCGGGCCATTTCGAGCTACTGTGCTTTCATGTTGATGATTTAATTTGGCTATATTTTACTGGAATGAGAGCTTGTGTAAAATATACATTATTTACAGGCTTCTGACACTTTAACTTGCATAATTCTTTAGAAACAAAATCCCTTAAGAGCAGAGTCATTCATGATTTTACTTTGCAAAGTGTTTCTCTCAATGATTTTTTAAAAAAGATTCATTTATTTACGCATATAGAGCTGGGGTACAGGCCAGAGGTGCAGGGCGGTGAGAGGATTCACCAGAGACAGAGTGGGGAGCAGGACAGTA